ATTGGGCATCGTCAAACCGATGAGAACAAGAGGCAATTTAAGCGATTTTGTATGCTACTCGAGAGTATGCATGAGGGAAATTTGGAAACTAGTCATGACCCGAATGTCTATATAGAGCAGGCTTATGATGATTTAGGAGTATTTTTGAGACCAGTCATTTAATAGTTTCATATGGCTCAATGGTATTTTAGATAGTATGAATCGTACAAACTATTCATTTCAATAGTCCATATAATTTGACTCAAAATAAGAGACCACATCCCGCTTAATATTTCCAGAGTTTTGTAATGGAGTATGAAGCAGGCGAGGCCTGTCGGCATGCTTAATTATAGATTGAGATGAAAAAAAGATTCAGGCGCCCAAAGTGAGATGAATTATCATCCAAAATCCCCGGTCTATATATTCCATATAATCCATATACCAAAACTACAATACCAAGAACTCGACAATGTTATCCTGAAGAGTACAAAGAGAAAAACTCGGCAGAGACCCAAAGATATAATATGAAGTGAAAGAATTCCAAGGAGGGGGGTGAACTCGTTTAGATCCCTGCCTAGTGTGAGTTTGAACGCAAATCAGTCAAACCACCGAACGCACATTCAAGATTAAAATGCCCCGCGCATACCTCAAAATCTTCAATCCCACTCGAAATAACATTCATACATTCACGGTATAGTGAATCTCGAAAGTTATTCAATCATCATCTTTTTTGGCACTCTTTCACTAGATTGTCAAATTAACATTCATTGAACAGCTGTCACTGAACCCTTTGAGGCTAGCTGATTTGTTTGGGACCGTCTCGAATTAAATCCTCGATCTAATTAACCTCGATTTTTGATTTCGCCACGTAATTCTTACTATAATAAAGCAACCTTCTCCAAATTTTCGTTCGTGAAATTGACGACAAAATCAAACACCAAGATGGCACCAAAGAAGAAGAACAATAAGAAGCAGAACGATGACTGGGAGGCGGAGCTTGGAGAGACCGTCGAACCTGTCAAGGCAACGGAACCCGATGCCGACGCCGCAGAGGCTGATCCTGAGGAGGAATTTCCTGCAGGAGGTCTCATGGCTATGATGCGCAAGAAGCAAAAGAAAGGCAAAAAGGGAAAGCTAACGGAAGATTTTGTTGAGGGAGAGGACCCACCGGCCGCCGATGAACAACCTCAAGACGATTTCGCCGACAAAGCTCCCGTTGAAGCTTCAATAGACGATGAATTCGCCTTGCCAGAGAAGAAGGGAAAAGGAAAGAATGCGCAAGCTAAGCCTGCAAAGAATGGCGATGCAGGAGATGATGAAGTGGGAGCGGACGGAAAAATGCTCACGAAAGCGCAAAAAGAAAAGTTGAAGAAGGAGAGAGAAAAGCAGAGGAAAAAGGAACAAGTACGTGGATCTCTCGATTCAAGGGTTTTGTGAGAGTTTTGCTAATTGTACAATTTGTAGGCGGCTTTGAAAAAGAAGACTACTCCAGGTGGGAAGGCTGCCGAGCCTGAGAAGGTAGTCGAGGAGGAGAAACCCGTCGAGGCCGCACCAGCTCCCGCTGCAGGTGGGAAAGGCAAAAAGATTCCAGCTGCTCTTGCAAAGCTACAAAAACAACAAGAGGAACTGAGAAAGCGAGAAGCTGAAAGAGCCGCTGCCATTGCAGCCGAGAAGGCTCGAATCGAAGAAGAGGAACGCCGAGAAGCTGAAGAGGAGAAGAAGCGTGAAGAGGCTAGAGCCTTGCGAAAACAAAAGGAGAAGGAGAAGATTGAACAACAGAAGCGAGAGGGTACCTATCTCACCAAGGCTCAGCGAGAAGAGAAATTGCGAAATGAAATGAAACTCAAGCAAATGATCGATGCCGGTGTAAAGGTTGGAGGTGGAGAGGGTGGAGAAAAGAAAAAGGTTGTCTATGGCAACAAAAAGAAGGGCGTAAAGAAGAATCCCGCTGAGATTAAGGCGGATGAAGAGAGAGCCCTTGCCGAGGCCGCTGAACGTGCGAAGAAGGAAGCCGAGAGAATCGCCGCTGAGGCCGCAGCTAAAGCAGAGAAAGAAGCAGCCGAACAAGCCGCCAAGCAAAGTAAAGAGGATAGCGAACTAGAAGATTGGGAGGCAGCTGCTGACGAAGAAGACGAGGATGTTAAAGAAAGCTGGGATGCGGATTCTGAGGAAGAAGGCGAGAAAAAAGCTGCCTCTTCCTTGCCCGTTAGGAAGAAGGAGCGAGAAGATTCCGATTCTGAATCTGATTCAGAAGACGAAGACTCATCCGAAGACGAAGAAGCCACAGCGAGAGAATTGGCTGAACTCAAAAGAAAGAACGAAGCCGCGGAAAGAAAACGAAAGGCACACGAAGCAGCATTGGCTGCTAGATCAAAGGATAACTTGCGATCCCCCATTTGCTGTATCCTTGGACACGTCGATACTGGAAAGACCAAGCTCTTGGACAAGATTCGACAAACTAACGTGCAGGAAGGAGAAGCTGGAGGTATTACGCAACAGATCGGTGCAACTTACTTCCCAGTTGAGGCTATCAGGAAGAAGATTGCAGTAGTGAACAGAGATGAGAGCTTTGATCTCAAGGTTCCTGGTCTCTTGGTAATCGATACACCTGGTCACGAGTCTTTCTCTAATTTACGTTCTCGTGGTTCATCACTTTGTAACATTGCCATTCTTGTCGTCGATATTATGCACGGTCTTGAGCCTCAGACTTTGGAGTCGATGAAACTTCTTCGGGATAGAAAGACACCTTTCATTGTTGCTCTTAACAAAATTGATCGTCTATATGGCTGGAAGAAGGTTGATAACAATGGATTCCAAGAGAGTTTGGCACTTCAAAACAAGGGTGTACAAAACGAATTCGCAAAGCGTCTCGCAGACACAAAGGTTGCTTTTGCCGAACAAGGATTCAACGCCGAAGTTTTCTACGAGAACAAATCTATGGCCAAGAATGTTTCCTTGGTTCCTACGTCAGCTCACACTGGTGAAGGTATCCCAGATATGCTTAAGTTGATTCTTCAACTCACCCAAGAGCGTATGGTCGGTGCTTTGATGTACCTTTCAGAAGTTCAATGTACTGTCCTTGAGGTCAAGGCTATTGAAGGTTTCGGTATGACTATCGATGTCATTCTATCGAACGGTATCCTTCGAGAGGGCGATCGTATTGTCGTATGTGGTGTAGATGGAGCTATTACCACAAATATTCGAGCTCTCTTAACACCAGCTGAGATGAAGGAACTTCGTCTTAAATCTCAATATGTGCACAACAAGGAGGTTAAGGCCGCTCTCGGTGTTAAGATCTCTGCACCCGGTCTCGAAGGCGCTATTGCAGGTTCGAGATTGATGGTTGTTGGCCCTGACGATGACGAGTCGGATGTCGAGGCTGAGGTCGAGTCCGATCTTGGTGCACTCTTTAGTCGAGTTGAGAAATCTGGACGTGGTGTCACCGTTCAAGCATCTACTCTTGGATCTCTAGAAGCTCTTCTAGATTTCTTGAAGGTATCCAAGATTCCTGTTGCCAACGTCGGTATCGGTCCAGTTTTCAGGAGAGATGTAATGAATTGTGGTACTATGCTTGAGAAGCAAAAGGAATACGCGGTCATGTTATGTTTCGATGTTAAGATTGACAAGGAGGCCCAACAATACGCTGATGATCAAGGCATCAAGATCTTTACTGCAGATATTATCTATCATCTTTTTGATTCCTTCACCAAGCATATGCAGGTTATTGCTGAGGCAAAGAAGGAAGCTTCCAAGCTTTTGGCCGTCTTCCCCTGCGTTCTTAAACCAGTAGCTGTCTTCAACAAAACCGGCCCTATTGTTATCGGTGTCGATGTTGTTGAAGGAAATCTCAGGCTGCACACCCCTATAGCCGCTGTCAAACACAACTCGGTCACTGGTAGCAAGGAGATTGTCGGTATTGGAAGAGTCACATCCATTGAACGTGATCACAAGCAACTTGAAAAGTGCAAGAGAGGAGAGCCTTCTGTTGCTATCAAAATCGAAATGGGTAGTTCACAACCGACATATGGCAGACACTTGGAGGAATCTGATACATTGTACTCACTGATCAGCAGAAAGAGTATTGATACTTTGAAGGAGTTTTACAGAGATGAAGTCAAGAAGGATGAGTGGGCACTGATTTTGAAGTTGAAGCCACTTTTCGATATCTCTTGAGTGGATTAATGGTAGATTATGAAAAGGATATTTGTATGTATTATACATGAACCATTTAAACTTTGCCCCTCAATGTACATGCTTTACTTAAAAGTCAAATGATTATACCCCTGTTTTGTTCATTTTGCAAAAGTGATACATCTATAAGATACCATACATGTTTCTTAAAATCGAGGAGTAACGAGGCCGCCAAGTAGAAGCATGATGAGAAGACTAGTGTTTTGGTTTGTGATGAATAGTTGCAATGAACTCTCAGATTTCATATACCTATTCTTCTTGATTTCCTCTGATATTCTGATCTAGATTTGATAATTACCTACGTACATGAAAGTGCTTTGTTAGTTTTGGAAGTCATATCTTTATATGAATTTTGGAAGACACGGTTTAAGTCCGCTTGAATTGAATAGTTTAGCAGTGCAGAGGAGGAGATGAGATATCTATGGTGTGGATATATATGTTGCTCAATATCCGGACATTGGACGACAACCTTCTTGATATGTAATAGATAATTCGATGTCCATAACGAATGAATAAATAAATGAAGATGAACAAATACTCGTTCGAAGCCTTTGAGGACCCTTGAGTGAAGTGATAGAAGACCTCTTCGATATAGAACTTTGGTTATTTGTAGTTGAGAGTACCTGAACTTTTGTATGCTCGGCCGGCCTCTAGAACATGGGGAGCTTCTCGCACCCATATTAAAAAACACTAGCAAGGTATAAATACACTAGCCCTGTCTGAGAACTGATAATCTTACCGCCCTATGGCAGAATTTAATTTTTGGTCAAGTTTTTAGACAGAGCTCTTCAAATTTTACAATTTCTGCAACTATCAGGCTATAATTCGAAATGGGCAGCAAAAGAAAGCGTTCAGCTCAAGATGCTGCAGTTGCAGCTCCTGCTGCCAAAAAGCAACAAAAAACCTCCAAGCCAACGACCAAGAAGCCCGTAGAAACTCCTGCTCCTCTCGATACATCACCATTTGTCAACAACCCAAGAGGGGACGATTTGAAGCGTGAAGTCAATCTTTACGATATGCTCAGTAGTGAGGACGATTCGCAACGACTTGATGCCGCCAATGCGATTGTGTCTGGATTGCTAGGCGGAGATGGAGTCGAAGAATCAACATTACAAAAGCACTTGGAGAGAAGATTGTTTCGGGGACTCGCAAGTGGCAGAAAGGGTGCGCGATTGGGCTTCAGCATTGTACTTTCGGAACTCTTGGCACAACTTTTCGGTTCGGCGAATTTAAGTGCGACAAAATATACTGGATTGACCTTCGATAACGTCTTCGAATTTTTGATCCTCAAAACGAAACCCGAGGGCGATCTTAGCGGACAGGAACAGAAAGATCATGCTCTTGGATTATTGTTTGGACTGCAATGCTTTGTCAGGTCTAAGATACTCTTTTCAATTGATGGCAAATGGGAATTGATTCTGGACAAACTATTGGATCTATCCAGCAAAAAGTCCTGGACTCGGGAGGAATGCGGTTGGGTAATTATGGAAGCTTTGGAGCAGATGAACCAAGAACAGGCGGAATCTACCTTGAAGAAACTGTGCGATGTTGGATTAGGACTCTCACCAGAAGGTGTTGGTATCTGGCTCAGAGCAAGGGACAAGTTTCCAAAAATGAAGTTTCCAAGCAATCCTTGGGGACAGAGTGGTAACCCATTGGAGCACCTCAATTCTCTTGCAAAAGCGCTCAAGGAGAGTTCTTCCAGCGAGGACACTTCGAGTAAAGGACAACAGGCCAAGCAAACTGGGACATGGAATGCGAAGTTACATTTTGTCTGGGACATTGTCTTGAGTCAATATGTTAAAGCAGCTAATAGCAAGGCCAAGAACATTATGTCTGAATTCGACAAATTTTGGAAGGTTACTGTTGATGGTACGTTAATTACATTCTATATCTTGACCCATTGTTGACTGTTATTTAGAAAATTTGTTTTCTGCATCTGCATCAAGAGAGCGTAAATTTTGGGGCTTCTTGGTCTTTCAAAGAATGATCCAAAGCCATATTTCGTGTACAACACTTATCACTAGTATTTTCAGTCACAATCTCGTCCGCTGCCTCATCAATCACGTTCAGGAAAAAGATCGTTTCCTAAACCGGGCCGCCGACAAGTCGCTAAAGGTTCTTACGCACGCTGTGGAAGAGAATCCTGAAGCATTGGTTGTTGTCCTTCAAGGATTGATTGACGGTAATGGTGCCTACAGTTTTGACCGGGTCACAAAGACAAAAACAATAGAAAAATTGCTAAGCATGGTTGATGACACAAACGGTGAAGCCGTTCTCGATATTCTCACCTCTCCTGTTATGGTCGTACCAAGCTCGGAAACCAATGATGCCGAAAAACGTCGACAAATGTTCGGAGACTATGTTTTAACCGCAATTCGACATGTTGATATCACGGAGGCATCACAAAACTCAAGTTGGATCAAAACCGCTGCGTTACCTCAGCTTGCCTCATTAGCATACTCGAATAACTCAGAAGCCAAACCTCCTATTTCTGAAGCAACCCGAATATTGATCAGAAACCGATTGACATCGGCATTTACTCATCTATTATCTAATATGGATGGCTATCATTATCCCTGTGATTTAGTCATTTCCTGCACACCTGATGCAGTTGCTATGGACGGACTCATCACTGGTGCTAAAGATGCTGCATTCACTACATTACAGAAACTCATGAAGAAAGCAAAGAAAGGAGGAAAGGATAAGGCAACTTTCCAAACCCTGTCATTGTTATATGCTTTAGTAATCTTTCAGTTATATAACGGAGATGTTGAAGCCGTGTCCATTCTAGATGAGTTGAAGTTATGTTACGACAACTTGATCAAACACAAATCAACAGAAGATTCGGAAGTTGAACCTTTCGAGGTTCTCGTGGAACTCCTACTATCTTTCCTCTCTAGACCATCCGCTCTTCTCCGAAAAGTCACTCAACATGTCTTTACTGCTTTCATGAGTGAGATGACTGAAGGTGGATTGAAACTCATGACAGACGTGCTGGAAACTAGCGAAAACATGAGAGGACAGCAGGAAATGTTTGATGAGAACCCAGATGATGAAGGCGCGATAGATGTTGACGAAGAAGATGACGAAATGGACTCGGATGTCGAAGTTGTTGACATGAACGGCGAGGAGGGCCACTTGAATGCACATCTTGCAGACGAAGAGGAAGAGAGCGACGAGGAAGACAATGAAGAAGAATCCGAAGACGATGAAGATGAGGGAGATGACGAGGCTAATAAAGAGCTCAACGACGCTCTAGCAAAGATTCTCGGAACCTCAGGATTAGACCAAAATGGCGAAGACGAGGATGGCGATAGCGACTCCGATATGACCGATTCAGGGATGGATGCTCTAACACCGAAACTAGAGGAGGTTCTCGGGAGAATGCAAAAGAAGGGGCCTAGTAAGAAACAAGAACAAAAGGACGCTAAGGAAAATATGGTCAACTTCAAAAGCAGAGTTTTGGATCTTCTCGATATATATGCCAAGAAGCAAGCGTCTGATCCCTTGGCCGTCGAAATTTTACTACCTTTGTTACGGCTGATCCGTACTACCAAAGCCAAACACTTGAGTGACAAGGCATTCTCAATAATTCAAGCTTTCGCAAAGTCCAAATCGAAGGCATCGTCTTCAGAAGCTGAGGTAGAGATTAATGTCAAGGCACAAATCGCCTTGATCAAGGGTATCCACGAAGAAGTACTCAAGGACCAGTCTAAGATCTTCGCCAAAGCTGCCAGTACGGCTAGTCTATCTTTGGCCTCTGGTATATACAGAGCGGATAAGAGTCAATTCGAGAAGATTGGAAAGGTTTACCTGCACACGATGACAAAGTGCGATTTCGAAGGTGTGAAGATTCAGGCTAGTTTTGTAAGTGACTGGGTTAATTGGTGGCAAAGTCATATTGCTCAAGCTGCGGCAGGAGGTGCTGTGAAGGAGGAGTAGAGGTAGAATCGAGGAACCTGGGTGTACATGTAAAGATACCAATGAACCAAAAGTTTTAGAAGTTATGAAACGAGATACAAGGGCTGTCATTTGAGTTTTCAACTGGGGAGTCCTTTTCGGTGAGCATAAATTTTGGGTCCTTTGGGGATTTCCATTCACTTGCACTAATGTCAAGGCTTAGAGAGATACAGTCAAGTAAACGTTTGTTTCTTTAAAATCCTCAAGATGAAGCTGTGATCTCGTCGAAGCGTAAGCGTTATCCTGATAGAAGACAAGGTGTGTCTATAATATTGTGGAGCTTATTAAGCACCAATTAGATATCCGTTGGTTATATCAGAGTCCGGGGTCCACCAGTCCTGGAGAATCCTAGACACTACAAAACTATACACTCAATTTCATATCAGCCCAAACCATCTTCATTCAATAGTGCGCCGCAATAGGACTTTATCGTCTATCTTGATTCATATTATCTATTGACCAACATCTCATCAATTCCCCAAGAACTGAAATATATTCAAGACATCTCGGAGACTTTCGAAAGCATGGCCAGCGACAACCTGGAAATACCTGATCTCTCCGGATCCTGCGAAGGCGATGAAACCAAAACCCTTTGCGAACTATGCAACAGCATAATCTTCCACAACACAGAGGTTGGAAGTGAAATGGAGGATAAGCTAGGGTTAAAGCTATCCGAAGAAGATATACCTACCATGCTGTTGATATTGAACGGAGCACATGGAGGCTGTCGTTTCTGCGCCGTAGTATGGAGAGCATTCAGGGATGAGGGAGTTTATCGGAATTTCTATTCAAACAATAATACTAATGCGATGTCCTTGACTGATATTGCAAAGCGTTTCATCATAAGCTCTTTGTCTCTTGAACTTGAGGATGGCATTTCTGTGGGCTATTACAAGCTGTCCTACAAAACAACCTATGAGAAGACAAAATGGAAGGGTGGTGGCGTTTTGGTGCTAGTTTTAGACACATTAAACGGTAAAGCACTTTTCATAGTGTCCAATCCCCAAGTCACAGCTTCAAGGGTAGATATACATGGAGAGTTTAAGTATATTTGCTGAAGTCTCTATACAGGTTATCAAGACTTCCATAAAGCGTCACAGTCTCTTACAAACGCCAATCATCTTACTGAAGAGAGATGGAGGAACTTCTGTTATTCATCAATAAGAATGTGCCAAGAAACTCACGAATCATGCAATTCCGCGTCAATATCTGAGAAGACTTCCCATTGCTTGCCTACACGTCTCATTGATGTTAAACGCGATCCTCCAAGGTTAGTCTTGTCCTCCAACGTAGAACCTGCAAGTTCATACGCGACTTTAAGTCACTGCTGGGGCAAAGCACGGATCCTTACTTTGACGACGAAGAATTTGGAAGCTTTTCAACAAGGGTTACCCATTTCTCATTTGAGTAAAACTTTTCAAGATACTATCGATGTAGGGAAAAGACTCTTACGAGACTTTAATGTGAGATATCTTTGGATTGACAGTCTTTGCATAATCCAGGATTCCAAACCAGATTGGGAGAATGAAGCACCAAAAATGTCCCAAGTCTATGGCAACGCCTTCTGCTGCATCGCAGCCTCTGCTGCGACCGACGGATCAAAAGGCCTTTTTTCTCCAAGGAACTCTATGGTGGACGATGTACTAAGTATAAGTTTTGATAGAGCAAGATATCCGCGTCTGCCGAGCCCAGTAAGAACAACAATACTTAACAAGGAAAAATGGCTTCAGATCATTGGAGAAGCACCCCTAAACCAGCGCGGTTGGGTTGTACAAGAAAGGGCTCTGACCAAAAGAACATTACAGTTTTTTGATGGGGAATTAATGTGGAAATGTCAACAAATAATGGCATCAGAGTCATTTTCTGTCATATCATCTTGTTTAAAGATATCCGATGATCGTCTTCTATTTCCCCATTCTCTCACTGCAAATTTTGCTTTCCGAAGGTTCTGGGGTCAGCTCTTACGGATGTATAGCAAGACTATTCTTTCGTATCCAGATGATATACTTATGGCAATGGCTGGTGTGGCACGTCAATTTGGGGAATACTTACCGACCGAAAACAAGGTATATCTCGCCGGAATGTGGGCATTCGAGCTTGAGAGGCAATTAGGATGGCTAGCAACCATACCTGGCTCTAGACATGATCTTGATCGTCGAGGATGCCCTAGCTCTAACGTCGCACCATCTTGGAGTGTGAGCGCAATCCATTCCTTGATATCATAGCTCTTGATACTAGTTTCTTTTCTCCTGTTTTATTCTTCGTTTTCTCCTTATAAAAACTTCACAAACATGTCATCCTTTGCAAGTATTTCCATGATAGGCAATTGCTGACGCGCTTATGATCTAGTGGGCCTCATCAACAGGCAGGTCAATCTCGAATGCATGGGATGACGGTCCATATAATGAGGCCTCTACGCGCTGGTATGACTGGACTCCCGCAGAATACAAAAGTCACATGATTTTGGATTTAAATCGGATTCACCCTCCTGAATTTACCATTGTTGATGTCGCAACCACTACTTCCAGCAAAGATCCATTCGGACCCGTCACTTCAGGCTTTCTTCGACTTCGTGGTCAATTGAAGGTTGGGCGTCACTCTTTTACATTGTCTAAACAGAATGCAGCAACCTGGAATAACAACAATGTTCACTACATCCAGGTGCTTGGCAGATCTCATCCGCTATTTTCTCCCATGGTTTTTGATCGTTTGCAGTCTGATGACGATCTGAGAGAGATTAGAGAAGGGATGTTGTTCGTTTTCCCTTTGAATTTCGAGACTAGTCGGAGCTCTCGTGCTCTCATTCTAAAGCCAAGCTGCACTCGAAAAAGTTTGGTGAGGGTGGGCTGTCTATTGAATCTTACAAAAGATATCACCTTTGATTCGGAGGGTGATAAATTGATCGGGGAAGAATTCTATGAGGAATCTCATGGGAATGGAGAATATAATATTCGTATTATATAAAAATCGCCTTGAGAAAAGTTGCTCCTCTTCAAAGGCCATGAAATATTGAAGTCGTGGTGGACTAGCATCAGCTTTCTAGCTACATAAACAGTTGACGAATACCATGAAAGAAGGATGATAGAAGTTCATCTCCTTCTGATGACGGTGTCAATTGGTTGAGGGGTGACGTTCTGTAACTCCATATTCATCATGTGAGTTGAGAAAATCCCTCGAATATGCGAATGGTATCAGACTGAGCTTCAGTATGCTCAGTAATTTAGCCCATATAGGTAACTATGCAGAGCTTTCTTGGAAACATCATCCAGCTCTACATTATGGAGTCTAGGGCCTGGAGAAAGTAGAATCCTCACCCGCCCCCTGAAATCCCTATTCATAGAAGCAACCCCAGTCGTCATCGAGCTATGAGACGAGAGTTATAAAGATTCGCTTCAATACATAAGTAGGTATGAACGAATATCGGTAGTATGGTAATCAATCTTAAAATGCCAGCCATCTGTAGTGTGTATGAAATAAGCAGGACCGAAAAGCCAACTGTTTACGCTTCAATATGAATTACTGTAACGTATGTATAAAATAGGAATAAACAATAGTAATTTTTGAAGTGTTAGGACTCTTATTAGTTATAGCTTATAACTATCTATAATGGTATAGAGATACCGGTATGAGTAGCTCTATCAGAGACAAGTGATGTACTCGTATTATATGCGATGAATTCTCGACTTTTTGGATAACTAAGTGGGAATCGATGATTAAATCTATCTAAATATATTTCTAAATAAATCTTTTCCAACAAGTTTTTCCAATAAGTTTTTTGAATAAGTTTTTTTGATAAGTTTTTCATATAAATCTATTTGAGATTATTTCAATTGTAATAACTGAATTGAAGAGCACCTATATCACGAGATCACTCCTCGATTAGCGAATGACAATAACGGCTTACATAACAACACAACCTCTCAGGCTGTTTCAAACAATCATCATTCCCATACACCACCCATACTCTCAAACACCATTCGTGACATCAACCATATGCGGATAGTAAAACAATGAATTTACACACTTTAGGCCAAATTTCCTGCAAATAATACGCTCAAAAATACCATGATTTATCAGATATATCTCTCTCCCCAATTGTGGTGAATGTGTCTCCATGGAACAATGCATCTAACAAACTAGATCTTCACTACCCAGAAACTAAAGAGCCGGTTTCATATCATTTGCCTATTCTTCTTATTCCCATCTCATCCCATCCCATCCCATCCCTCTTCCACAAACACATGCCAAGAACATTTCCTTCCTTTCCCTCATCCCAATCAATTCTCGAAGGCCGGTCCTTCCCTTCCATTCCCTACCATGACATCCCGAACCTTCTTTTACTTCCAACTTATCATCTCCCTCTACATCACCTCCATCTTCTCATATCCGTTTTTCCCCATCCACTTCAAAAGCAATCCCACCGAAACCCGCGATCTCTCCGCCGTAGCCAGCGAACTCGGCACTCTAGGAAGCGATCTCAAGAATTCCAGCACTTTGAAAACGTTTCTCGGCGATAGAGGAAATGTAATTACGCAGAACGATGTGGTGGACAGTAATGGGAGTTGTGCTACGATGACTGTATTATTTGCGCGTGGAACGGGGGAAGTGGGTATGTTTAGTTTACTTACCTACTGATTTATTAACCATCCTCTCTCTCTCTCTCTCTCTCTCGAAATCAAATAAATGCACGGGAACAGAGGAAGTGAAACTCATATGACTAACTCAACAACTAGGCAATGTGGGAATCTTGACCGGTCCTCCATTCTTCACAGCCCTAGCCGCATACATGAATCAAACAGGAAGCATGTCCATCCAAGGCGTTGATTATTCCGCGAGCGTGTCCGGGTTTGTCGCCGGTGGTGATCCCGCCGGTGCAAAAACTATGTATGTACCCCTTCTCCTCCTCCTCCTCCTCCTCCTCCTTCTCCAAAAAATTACTCATTACTAACACACCCCAGGGCCGATCTAATAAACAATACTTTAACCAGTTGTCCCAATACCCATCTCACTGTATCCGGCTACTCTCAAGGAGCACAACTTGTTCATTTGGCTATGAGTTCGCTTCCCACGACCACCACGTCACGCGTGAAATCCGTCGTGATGTTTGGAGATCCAAAGAATGGTACTGCGTTAGCGGGTATCGATTCGAGTAAAGTGATGACGATTTGTGATCCTAAAGATGATATTTGTAAAGGTGGAGATCTCATATTACCAGCCCACTTGGAATATAGTGCAAATGCTGGGATTGCTGCCATGTTTGCGTTGAGTGGGCTGGCTGATGTGGGCATCACGAGTGCGAGGAAAGTTAACGGAGTTAATGGGATATCTTGACATTTCAAGGTTGTGGAAAGGGAAGAATATGAGAGATAAAATATTGTCTATATATGCTGTTGAAGTCTTGAGACTAACAAAGTTGAGTTTATTTGTATGTAATAATCTATCACAAAATCTATGTCTATGTATCGTACATGAAATACATAAGTGTACAAAAGGTATTATCTATACGCTTCACCCCAAAATTTCTCGTTCTAGAGAATCTCCCGTTCTAACCATTGTTTTGATTGCATTCAGTGTCCTTGAACAATCATGCTCCAGATCATTGAGTAAAAGCCGATTAGCTCTTGACTCTGCCGCCATAGCTTGTATATTAAGAAAGCCTTTGGTAAGGTACAAGAATGTGCGGTATTCTGGACGTAGAGACGTCAATCGCTTTCCCTTCCTCCTGATTTCCAAAGGTAATCTGTTCTTCTCACTTGTTAGAGCTCTCAGCTTCGCCCACCCCTTCCAATGATCCATCAGAACCGTTTCGCATATCTTGAATGCTAGTTTGAAATGTCGAAACTTGGTAAGATGTTGAATGTATTCGTTCCAATTTTGATTGCTTAATTGAAATCCCATATCCGTAATCTCGTTGACAGTCCGTATCATGACGTTAATTTTCCCTTGCCTGACAAGAGCCATCATGTAGAAGTGCAAGGCCTTTGTCAGAGCAAGTCTATGTGCTGCCTTAATTGGCTCCTTGCTCTCCTGTGGATCGACTTTGGTATCCTCCAAAGCGCCCTCTCCAGATGCATGGCCGGCCTCGCCTTCAACCACTTCTGCCTTTTCGGAATCATTGGTACGAGAAAGTGATTTTGAAAGCCGAAGGGACTGGGCTCGTTTTCTGGTATCGGACACGAACTGCTGCCACAAATCTTCCACGGCGTCATAATCCAGCTCTTGAAGCTTTAGTGACATCAAAGCAGTGGTAACATTCCCGGGTTGTGTGTCTCTTCTATCGGCTGGTAGCAGTCTTAAGAAACGTTCATGCATATCCTTGGCAGATGTTATCTCCATGTTTTTGGAAAGCACATATACAATATACCCGAAGAACGTGGTAGGAAAAGCGATATCAAGTGGCTCGTGCTGGATACCTTTCCTGACTTTGTCACTAATGTCGCGGGGATTCATTGTTGATACAACTTGTTCAAAAATCTCCATGGCACCGTGTGGATCCCCCCAGGTAAGCCTAGCTGCGTGAATTGCAGCTCTTAATTCCAAGAATTTTGTACTTGCAGTTTTCATCCTTTTTTGCTCAAGCATTCGATCTTGGATTACAAAAACTTCCTTGTAGCGTTTGGCAGCAAGATAACCCCCCATCACAATCGCATAATGAAGACTAGTGGCAGGTATACCAGCTTCCGGCATAACTTCTGCTAAAATTTGCCAGGCACGTTCGGGTTGTTTTACCATAGCCAGCGCTTGCATGAGAGCAGCATAAGTATCACCATCATGCTCTATATTAAGCTTAGACATTCTTTGAAGGATTCGATTGACGTTGACGAGGTCATAACGCAACGCCCAAGCAACAAGCAAAGAATTCCACATGCGGGTTCGTGAATCTGAGAACTTTAAATTCACGGCCTCTTCGCATATGGTTTCAGCTTCTTCCAATCGATCACCTGCCAAATAGGCAGTCACGAGAGTGCTAACCATAGCTGCACTCTTCTCGACTCCATAAGTAGCAGACACTCGATAAAGCTCAATGGTGTTTTCAAGATCACCACGTGAGGCACACATCCCCATCAGTGTTCCAAATGTATAGTCGTCAGGTTGAAGTTTCCGTTTTGTGACGGTAGATTCAAAAGTCTCCAGGGCATCATCAACTTGACCAACCTGTGCGTAAGCACTGATGAGAATGTTGCAACATGTTATGGTCGGCTTAAGACGATATTTCTTTCGGATACTTTTGAACACCTCGAGGACGATCTTGGGCTCTCCTCGCCTTGCGTGAACATGTAAGAGAGGAGCCATATCGTCGGCCGATGCCAGAGGATTAGGAGATGTTGCAGATTCACTTTCTAATCGCATATACTTTTCTGCAAATTGTTCAAACAAGGCATGAACGGTGTCAGCATCTCCGTGACGTGCAAATTCATCCATGCATCTCCTGAGCGACGCGCGATCCAAAGTCTGATTGAAGCGAAATATATCCGCAAACACTTCTTGGACCCCAATCAAATCATGATTTTTGAAGAATATTTGCAGTACGGATTGTAACATGGATCTTGGAAGTAAGAGATTCTTGATTGGGCTTACTCGGGCCTGTCTGTACAGAACGATTGCTGCTTTTGGTTGACCAAGAGAAAGTAGCATATTTGTTGCCTTTGTATAAAGAGGAACAGACTCAGTTTCCCAGTCCTGAATGTGTCTTAGAAGGGGCCAAAATGTAGCATATGAAAAGTGTTTGGCACTTAGTAGAGCTGACGTGATCACTGCCGTGGCAAATTTCGTGAGGGCTTCAGATGGTAGTGTTTCAACTTCTGAGGGAAGGCGGAGTGACTTGTTGACATACTTTGCTAGAAGTAAAGCTTTATTTGGAAGATCTTCTATGTGATGTAAACTTTTAAACATATCATAACGTGGACCGGTAAGATTCTCGTGCAGCTGCACTTCTGTCCAGAGAGTGAAGGCTTGCGACCACAAATTATTCGTCATGAGATGCAACATAATATCTGATCCTCCAGCCGTTGTGTTGAACTTTTCGAGGGAGTAGTGGTAAAGTTCATTCGCCCTCGAGAAATTCTGCAGTCTCAAATAAGTACGAATCACAATCTCGTATATCTCTGGCTTTTCTCGACGTTCATCAGATCGCTCGAATAATGAAGTGGCCCTCTCCGCATCTACTATCCGATTTGAAGCCGCCATGTATTCTAAGACTTGAATTCGAATTCGTTCCTCGGCCCAGCTCCCAAATTCCAGGCGCCGATATTTTCGCCATACCTCTTCGTATCGGGATGATGTTGTTATTCCTAGAACAGTTGCAATTGTGGCTGCATCGTCAGGCGCCTCATGTATAATAGGACGCTTCTTAATCTCGGTGGATTCTTTCGTCTCTGCATCTACCGGAACCAATGCTAACGAAGGTTTCTTGGCAGAAGATGAGTAAAGTCGATAGCCATGACTTCTCAAACCCAATCTGGTCCTCTTTCCATCTTGTCTATCAGCTCCCAACCCTGGATATTGCCGTAGGAATTTGAGTGTACCGGCTGGATAGAGAAAGTCCAAGAAGATGCCAGGATTTTCGCTCACAGTTCCATCGTTGGGTGATCGTGAGTTCGAGCCCTCGATAGGATCAGGTCCTTGTAACATGAGCTGCCATAATGGCGAGAGCTCAAGCTCAATTGCACCGTGAGTCCAGAATCCCGAATGAAGTGCGCGACGACTTTTGGCTAAGTGTTTTGGTCCTGGTAGAAGGCGCCGCAGACTGCCTGTTTCAAGACATCCCGCCGTGCGCTCGAGCATGCCCTACCGAAAGAGACAAGAATCGTGTACGAATATGTAGAAGAGAGGTTTAATCGTCACCGGTGTGCGGCTCTAACGTGAAAATCAAAATCTAACTCGATATCAGCCGATTTTGTAAGTGAAAAAGATCACACACAAGCTCTGTACTCACCGTAGAACATGCTTTGCACAGTCAAAATGAGACTGAAATTGAGATGATAGGGTGAAGATATTGGGAAATTGTCAATCTGTCAATCTATGGTCGTTTCAGTGAGATATCAACTCTAATAAAGGTAAAAGAGGCAAAAACTTCACATATCAACGTAGGCAATAAATTTAGCTGCGTCGGATCATTATTTATTTTTGCTCCGATTGCTTAAGTAAGCCAGCAGTATTTGTATGGAGGGGTGGTCTCGGTAGTATTCTCCGTCAGCCAAAATTATAGTGATGATATCACCATTTCATTGTTTCAGACGGTATTTGGTAATAATGAAAGCCTTCAAATTTCAAAATGGATCAATTTGAAGACCTTACTTGGGACAGAAAGAGGGAAAGATATGAGTTCTAGGTAGTTCGTTCCTTCCCAACATTTCTTTCATCTGTCTATCTCAAGGAAATGATATGTATATATTCGACTCGACGTATTCAGTCTCTATTAAAAGACGTTGAGACATCACCGGGGGGCACATTGAAAAGCGTGTAGATGAGCACAAAACGGGATATGGGTAACTATGAGCTTCTAGACATCAAATACCTATCAAGATATCAATAGCAACGATCAAACTTACATAGAGATATTGAACGCAGTCAACTATTACATTTGTATTAAGAGATCGAAAGCAATTGATTGAATTGATTCATGACAGTCGATACCAGTGCTTCGCTGACCGCTTTCCTTGTACTAAAATTATTCTGCCAGGATTTAATTTCGAGCTACAACTGATCTGTACCTCTTCTACAACCCCACAATCCCGCAATCCGCCCAACTATCCTCTCAACACCCTTTGAACGATGGATATCACAAAATTTATTGTCGAAAGACGACTCAAGATTCAAATTGATTCATCCTACAAACATTATCAACCTGAAATCACAAGACAGATTCAGACGCTGAGAAAAAAACTTGACATTGCGACAAAACGCCGCTCAAAGTACTCCAGCAAAGCTATCACTGTGGAAGACATCAGTCGCAATCATGAATTTGTTCACTATCACTTACTCCTGGCCGAACGATGTTACGCAAACGCAATGATGATGAAAGAAACGCACATGGTCGGCAAAAAGGGCTTAACCGGTCCAACCCGATCGCACATCGATTCTCGCCTTCACAAAGGCGTCAAGTATGCCAGACATCTTTGTCGATTACTGTCCGATAAATCGACTACCAATGCGAACGATGCCGATATATTGGAAGCTAGAGCATACGCTGCTTCTCTCGCCGGAGCGAGGTATTTCGAGAAGGAAAGTTGGGAGTCTTGTGTGAAGAGCTACACAGAAGTTTGGATCATATACACTGCACTTTCTAAGGTCACCAAAGCGGATATCTTCAAGGATCTTTTGACCGACCCCGTTGATCCCAGTATACGATACGCGGCTTATAAGATGGGATTGCCTCGAACATTAGCTATATCTACCATTGTCCGCACGAATTTCCCTTCAGAGGATCGAGAGTTGACAAGACAGTTGGGAAACTTAGACCCCGATTCTCTGAAAGACGAAGCGACAATGTCAGAAGTTGAAAATCTGGAATCAGATGTGGCAATCAAAACTATTGTTTGGCGATCTCGGACAGTAGTTCTGGAAGATGCAGCAATAGCTACTGCCCTTGGATCGGTCAAGGCAGCTACCCTGAAGCTATCCAACGCTCTTTCCTCATCCAGTCGTAAGGATACGGGCTTGGCTTATGATGATGTTCTAATGGCTAGTCAAGAGGCCGTAGACGCTACAAAACATGCTATTGACGAGCTAGCTTCAGAGGGTGTTGAACAAAGTGATAAGCGCATGCAAAGTTTGTTCGTTACGCGGACTAGAAATATCTATGAAATGATCAGTTGGCGAGTCGGACGAAATAGAGCGATGTTAGGGAAAGGAGACGGATTAGATGTTGACCCACCTCGACAGCTATACAGGAAGAAGGGTAGTGGGATGGTTCCAAGGGAAGCGGGCACTTCGCAAAAGGTGGCACCCATGCGAGCGAATGTTGTTCTTTATGATGGAATTTTGAAAGATATCGAGTCTATTCGCGAACTCCACGGTGTTACATCAGACTCAGAACTAATGGAAGAACTGGATGCGAAATATAGCTACTTCCAAGCTCTTAAGTAAGTTCTAATAGCTTTGAATTACCATTCATACAACTGACTCTAAAATAGATGCCTGATGCTAGCTCGCGCACATGCAATCGTACCCAATTCTGAGAATCTGCGAAATTCATTAGCTCTCTTGAATCGCGCAGCAGAAAAGTGCACAGCTGCTCACTCTAAGCTCTCGTCTTCAATGGACACAAGTACTGCAGATAGTCCACCTAATCTAACTGTCACTTCCTCTCAACCCGAAAACCTACTCGCTTATCTCCACTGCGAACTTCAACGCTACCGGGCTTTGGTCGAGATATACGATCTCACCTCCGCTACTCCTCAACCAGCCAATGAAAACGTACGACAAGCTCCTCTCGTTGAACGTCTCCATGTGTACCCAGCCGACGGGATTGTTGACCTCAATAATCTCGTAAACTATCCTCCAAGAATGGAAGTTGTACCCGTCAAACCACTATTCTTCGATTCGGCGTGGAACTATATTGACTATCCCGGGAGAACAACTGAGAAAGCTGCAGAAAAGGCTGCTGTAGAGGAAGTGGAGACAGAGCCGGAGGAACCACAGGAGCAGCATCAACAGCAGAAAAAGGGATGGTTTGGTTTCGGTAGATAGATACAGGAATTAGATTAATGAATGTTGCTAACGCGGGGTTCGCTAGTAAGATTTGCAAAATAGTGCGTTCACAATAATTAGCGGAAGCTAAATAGTTACAAGAGCTAGCTAAGTAGCTTTAAAAATATATAAAACTTTCAAATCTTGATATGTTCTCTTACTTGGATCACCAGTGGGTGTTTGAATTAATGGGATATTGTGAAAATGGACTTGTAAATATTTGTGTTATTGATTGGTGTTTCTCGGGTATGATCTTGATCATTTATTGAAAGTTGAATAATGAAAAGATACATTTTGATATTAGCGTAATAAACAATGAATTTATTAGCATGTATAGTTATACATATTGTAAAAATAATTTGAATGTTTATTAAAAGTTGAACAATTAAAAGATAGATTCTGCTATCGGATTATTAGAGTATGATTCTTTTGATATATATATATATATCTTACGAATGATTTTATTTATTTATTAAAAACTGAACAATTAATGAATAGATTTTGAAAGTATAGAATTTTTGACGAATATATCTTGAGGATGATTTCAATTATTCATTGGAAGTTGAACAATGGAAAGATAGATTCTGATATCGGATTATTGAAGGATAATGAATCTATTGATTTGTACCTTATAAGAATGTTCTAAATGATTAATTGAAAGTTGAATAATGAAAAGATAGATTTTGATATTAAATAATCTATTAATTTATATTTTGTAAGATGGATTTTGGTATTGAAGGATCAGAGAATGAATCTGTTAACAATGTCAAAAATTGAGAAATATCCCATTAATCCATATACTCACAAGTAGACTCACCGATACATCTGGCAGACATATAGTTTATAATCATATTTTATTACCATACTCTATTGATACCATATTCAAACATCCTCCCTCCCATTATTTCAGTCATTCAATAGGTACCTAGCGATAAATACAAGCATATCCGACCCACTCCACCCCCAATTCCCTAAACGCTTAAAAGAAGAGTAAATCCTGATCTCTCCAGCCCAAATCCGACAATATGCCATGTACACTCTTTTCCAAGGCTTCAGGTCCACAGATCAAAACCAATTGCTCACCATCCCTATACCCATGTTCCTCATTGCTCATCTCAAACCTCCCGATTTCCTTCTCCAAAACGTCTTTTCCAAGTCTCCCTCGTAATCCTTTCCATTCTTCTGTGGGTTGACTTAATGCATACACTAATCTACATCTCTCCTCCTTTCCCTTCACCAAACTATCCAACTCCTCTCTGCAGAGAATATCTTCCACCCTCCTATTTCCATCCAACACTATGCATTCCTGTCCGTCTGCCGTCTCTTCCTCACTAAGGACCGCTCTCAACACCGAGAAAATAGGCGTCACACCACTTCCTCCACAAATCATCACGAATCTTTTTACCCTCCTCTTTTTACCTCCAATTACACACTCCCCTTTCGACACGTATTCGAATTTCCCAATCGGTCCTTTGAAATCAATTGCATGTCCAACAGGGATACTTTCCAACGCCATTGTCATTTTTCCTCCTGGTCCCTTTTCATTTTTCACATAGATCTTGATCAAGATTTCTAAAACTCCTTTGTCGGTTCCGAGCGAAAGAGGCGTGTAGGATCGTATGATCGCTTCTCTGGTAACGGGATCCCGTAAGCGCATCATGAGATGTTGACCGACCGGTAACCCAATGACTTGCTCTGGATGATCGAGAGTAAAAGAAAAGATGCGTGTATCGCTCGAGATAGCTTTTTTAGCAGTGAGGATGGCTTTTTGCCAGCTTTTGGGTTGGAGGAAGATGGGACGGAGAGATTGGGATGAGGAGGACAGGGGCTCGGGGTTGAGGAGCGAGGTGCGGGCTGAGGGGGAAAGGGTACCGATGTGGTAGGCGGACATCATTGCTTTTGCCGTTTCGGAATGAATGGCCATGAATTCGTCGGTGGAGTCTTGGCCTGCGGCTCCAGTAATACTTGTTGCGCCTCCTGGGTGACCTTCCAGGAACGGGGCACCGTCGTAGACTTCGCCGTTGAGCACAAACCAAGGCTCCTTTTCGTTGTCATGTTGACGTAATTCCTCGATAGATATCTCACGCTTCAGGCCGTCTTTTGTCATTTTTATCTCCCGCTTGACCTCGACCAAGTCGACAGATTCATCTTCAATGCCCATCTTCTCGCCCCAGAATCCATTGGCGAGATTTCCTCCAGCAGCTTTTACTCTTTCCATCCATCCTCCTGGCATAAGTGCTGGTTGTGTGGGATGTTCGAAGCGCAGATAATCGCCTTCTTTGGTAATGGTTACTCGATACCATGGGTTATTCATCATACCAAGCACACTCCAGTACATATCCCTCGGTTGAACATTCATACTCTCGTCCATGGCTCTTACCATGATATCTCCTGACATTGCGAGGTCTTGGATCTCCAAATCAACCTCCCAAAAACACCATGTGAAGCATGTTTCTCTCCATTCCATATCTAGTTTACCACCGAATAAAGATTCATTTTCGTAGGCACGGTCTCGATAATCGTCTTCGTGGTATCGTATATCAGCTAACGCCCATGATTTTCCTTTGTCGAGTGTTACCTCGACTCTAGTAATGCGTCGTCCACCACCACCATACGCATAGCCCTTTACACGATATGTTTGTCTTCCGCTTACTAAAGATACTCGCTCTTCATGTTCTGGGTATGCGGTGGCACTGTTTGTACTCAGATCATAGATAGCATATCTCTCGTCTGTCCACCACTTGGGTTCGTTGGCACTCTGCTCTGGGCTGATCATAGTTGGAAGGACTCGGTTATCATAAATGTGATACCAGTTATCGCTAGGAGCTGCGGTAACAATAATCTTTTTGAGCCATTTCACACTGCGGCCACCAATTTGCCCGGGAACAACAGCTCGTAAAGGTTTGCCATGATCAGGTCGAAGCATTTCTCCGTTCATTTTGTGGGCTACCATAATTCCTCGATTTGGGTCCATAACCCAGTTGAGCTTTATGGACGTTCCATAGTAACCGTTAGGAAGCTTATCGGCACCCTCAATACAGACATACTTTGCTCCTCTAATTGGTATCGCCTTTTTGATCAACTCGTACATTGGTACGCCTGTCCATAATGCCGTAGACACGCCTGCAGCACCCCACGAGAAACCTTTGGACTTCCGAACTTGGTTCTGTTCTTTACGACGATTCCCGGCGCAGACAAGTGTGATGGGTACGGTGATTTGTTCGTATTCTCTCAGAAGATCTTTGAGTGTGAGAGTAAATGGCTTTTTCACCAGTCCTTCGACAGAAAATTCCCAGTCTGGTATTGATGAGTCCTCAACATGAGGTACCGCTCCATGATTCCGAACATAGAACAATTCAGGCGATGTGAGAAATCCTTCGTCATATAAAGCGCTCAATGGAGGTTCGACATTAAAGGGATGAATTCCAGTCAGCCGAATAAGTCGAGGGTCCCGGGGTACTTGGTTATCTGGTGTCTTCAAGTCCTCCTTGAGAATCTCCGTCGGTGGATTCGTTGGAGGTGGGAGAGTGTATCGCTGTGATGACAATGAGGTTAAACTAGGTCGACTTGATAAAGAACCCAGCTCATCTGCACTGTTATCATTGGAATCTGGTGGAGTCTGTGGCAAATAAGGAATTATCTTCGACATCTCCGCATCAGCCTCGGAAGAGTGATCATTCATGAATTGAGCACTAGCCATTGAGATTGTCTTTTTCGTTCAATATATCAAAACCACAAGAATAAGATAGAAAAGCTGGCAAAATCTTACAACTGAAGGGCTTGTAGGATATTATGGTATTGATCCAGTGGAATCCTCTTGCGCTCAGATAAATGAGGGAAACAATATTCGACGAGGGTTTCAAGCCAGTGAATGTATAAATTTCTCCGCGGGTAACATTAATGGAAAGTAATGATGCAAGGGAAGTCTACAGGCAAAACCCAGATCGATACAAGGAGCAATGGAGCGCAGTGCACCAATTATTTGAAATCATTTCAATCAATAAGTCCCACGGCAGAAATCCCACTAGAGATTCTCCAAACGAGTGTATCAATCACAAAATTTATAGAGGATATCATCTAACGTCAAACTATGACTTTCCTAAAAGCCACGATATGGTGACTGCTGGACATCCTGAAGGCAAGTACGATCTTTGAGGATTTCCGCGGATATCTCTTTATTTGTATGCAGAGAAGATAAGAAAACCTTTCTCTGTATCCATATCTATACCCATCAGTAGCCATGGGCTTGAATAAGATACGTTTGGTGGCTCCGAGCGGACCATACTTGTGCTTTTTTTCTTATCTCTATGATGATCAAATGTGATTGGTCCACCAGATTCGGCCACTAACCGTTACTAATAGCGACGGGAACGAAGTATTTCCGATTTCGAGGCATGTCATTCATGCCTGTGTGCATCATGAACTGATGATAAGGAAGGATTTCATATTATTGCGTCAATTGACTGGAAAATCCGGTTGGTAATGGCTTCGTTGTTAACTCGGGGTTCTCTGGATCGTTTCATGGTATGATTTGAAAAAGATAAGAAGCTAGATATCCCGGGGTATTTGCCGGACGCTAGCCTTCAATTAGCACCGTTATCCCCACGATTCATGTCTTCCTTAGATGCAACAGTCATGTCGCAGGCCATGATCAAAACCCCTCATATTGAACCAGGTATCAGAACAATACCGCAGTTTGCTTTGGGGGCGATGGCTTGTCTACGGTCTTAAGACAGACATCAACAACTTTGGAGCTTTGAGAAGAACAGGATACACAAGCATGCATGCGAGAAAGAAGGAATTAATGACTTGTCCGTACTGTTATCGTGAAACCCCTTCCTTTTAAGTGTGTCAAAACTTTATGACCGTAAGGCTATCTCATATATATTGTTGTGCCTCCAGAAATGCAAGTCACAATGTAGGCAAATGTCTCAACTCGGACTCGTATCAAGATGGACCGAATCGGGCCAAGGAATTATAGCAACAATGACCATCAAAGCTTGCCCGAGAGCTATCTAGTCAACGCTGGATATTTGAGCTTTTTCCTGTTTGCCACGGCCATCAAATCAGATGACGAATACTAGATACTCGCAGTGGGATGGTCGAGACCCCGTTTATCCAACTATCGGTAGAACGAAGGGTGATATTTCAGAATGGAATGGGAATACCACAAAAGTCTTTGACAATCCAAATTAAACCTTGACAGCCATTACTGGAGTAAAGCAAAACTTTCAGACGGATCAGAGTATTGCATCACAAATGCGCATCGTGAAATCCAGTACATTGTAGCAAGTGGATCATAACGTTGAAGTCAACGATATAATAGGAAATGCTGTCTGGATCTTTCTACCTTGTTGACAAAGGGATGTCCTCTTCGCATCATCGAGTCGTTGTAGCAAAGACTCAAGGCCTACTCAGCATGAAATCTCCAACATGGAAGTTTGAGTACTCTATCACTCCTGTCAGGCTTCGATGAAAGATCCCTAGACACTCCTCTCCTTTGGTGCTTGGTCCCTCCTTTCATGAACATGGATCTGTGAGGTCAACCGTTGTACTGGTTGGTACTCTTGTGGGTCATGACTTAGGAGAGTTTGAGATCAATCTTTCCTATAAAAATTCGGAGAGAGGGTGCACAAGCTTTGGCTTTCAGTTGTGTGAAGGTTCGTCCACCTTTGAATGAAGGCAATGTGAGACAAACGAAGTCAATATACCGGATAATCAATAAATTTATTCTCAGACCCTTGGCAATGAGAATAAGCGGGCAATATTGTATTCTTACTGATTGATTACTTACATGAGATGACGGTATTGTGAGCACACTAAAGCTCTCATGTACCAAGACTGACAAGTAAGGAGGATGTAGACTCAACAGGCTTATTAGCATGGCATGCAATCATTGTATATAGTTGTGTAGATGCAACTATTCTTATGCAGGACAAGAAGGCTATATCTACGTTCCCTCACTAATTCACTGGCTTTATCACATGTAATGGTAGTGATTGACTGACAAACAAAACAAGAAAGCAAACAATGAATCCTATCCACTGTAGATATAGTAATCATCTACTGTGGTGAAATACATGCATTCCAATTGAGATTTTGTTATTTGATTTGTTGATTGAGATAATGATCTCAATATATTGATCATGATGGATCTTGAGTTGCAAGAGGCTAATCGATAACAGTAGTAGACTTGTTAGTTTGATCCCAATCCCTTCATTCGAGCAGTAGCAGTAGCAGTAGCAGCAGTATATTTGTGTAAGGCAAGGGACAAGGCTCGCACGGGCTACCTTTAATATTCTCTATTGTGATTCCTCAATTCCACAATTTATAGGGAAACTTTCTCACAACCCATCTTTCGACTCAACTTCTAATTCCTCTCAACCTACATAAACGGCTGCTGGGCAATCAATTCGAAGGGAAACAATCTCCCCCAAAATTAAACCTTCATATCCAGATGCATCTGTCTGCTTCTGTGAAGTCATACTACCTTTGGTCTTTCTTACAAAATCCCTGATGTGGGGCGCAAGGAACACATATCGCACCCCCCACCTCAAAACATAAAGATCCAGCCTGAATAGGCTCATCATGGATCGCAAGAGAAAGCGTGAGTACTTGCATGTTACCCTACGATATGCAGACATGGAGGCTGACATGAATATTGATTTGAAGGCGAACTGCGCGACTTAAACACTCGCGCTTGGAATGGCGAGAAAGGTTGGTTTGATATGCGAACAACTCATAAACTATTCTGTCTAACGTTGGATACAGACATTTATGCCGTGAACAAGTCACTAGACTCATCACTCAAGAAGAATACAGCCTTTATCAAGCGCCTTCGAACCGCAATTTCAGCTGCGACCCTTAGCACCTTCTTACAAGAAATTCGAACCCTCAGCCTACACAAATATCTCTCGGAAATTATATCTGCTTGTTATGAAGGGCTTTGCAGACTTAAGTCGCCGGGAGAGGTTGAGGCTGGTGTAGAAATTGTTAGCGCATTACATCAGCGTTTTGGACCAGCAGAATTTACAGAGTTTCTAGGATGGTTGGTAGGAAAAGGATTGGCTACACCCGAAAAGTCATTGTTGAAGAGTCTCGCAGCCGAAGCCCGGGAGAAGGAAGAAAAGGAGCGAATTGTACGACAGAGAGTACTTTTGAGAGTTGTCACCGAGTTGTGGCTGGTGGGAGTTTTGAGAACATTGGACGACGTCGCTCGACCAGACGACGCATCTCACGGCAAGGAATCGCTTTCAGGATCGTCGAACAAGGCACCAGATGCTAAAGCGAAACCAAACGGAGCTGGAAAGGGGGGCGGTGCGGAACCATTTCCTCTCGAAGTTCTAAAGGATCTTCTGGGTCATGATAGGGATCATGCGAACTTGCCCTTGCTGGTAGTCTTTGTAAAGGCATTTGGTTGGGACATACTCGGTGTCAGAGAAGCTGGATACGAGGGCAGAAAAACTGTTGAGGAAGACGGGACCACGAATGCGACTCTTGATGCCACCGAAGGTGAAGGTGAGAATGAGGATGGCGACGAGAACGATTCGGTGGAAGTGACGTCATCCTCAATGGACTCGACCGAAGACGCCCCTCTTGCTTCACCTGAACTCCAGGAGCGTTTCCGCAATATTCTCAATCGCTATTTTGAAGATGTCAAGGCACACATCATCCGCGATCAGAAGGCTATTGTTAAACAGGCCCGCAAAGACTCGGAAGCATATGTCAAATCTGGCCAACTATTTGAGGACCGCCAAGCAAATTACGAGAAGGCTCTTAAAGCTCAAGAACGACTTGTATCGAACGCTCAAGTCCTCGCGGAATCCATTGGCGCAGAAATGCCAGATCTCAAAGACTCAGATGATTCTTCAGCCTTGGGTAACGGAGGCGTTGGGCTTGTGAAGGCTGGCGATTATCTGAGAGGGGAAGGTGAGGGCGCGGGTATCTGGGAGGACGAAGATGAGCGGAGATTCTACGAAAATCTGGTAGATCTTAAAGGAAAGGTCCCGGGTATGCTTCTCGAAGATGGTAAAAAGAAGAAAACAGATACGGACGAGCAAGTGGGCAAAAAAGTCGACACTTCCGAGACGATTCCCGCAGAGACCACTGCACCCACAGCGAAGACCACAGATGATGATCAATCCACAGCCATTGCCAACAAAACCATTGGTGCCCAGGTCGATGCATTACTTGCTAGGCTTCCTGATCTTACAAACAAAGACCTGATAGACGAGGCCGCTATTGATTTCTGTTTCTTGAACTCCAAAGCTTCTCGCAATCGTTTGATCAAAGCCGTGCAAGAGGTTCCTAAGGGTCGCAGTGATCTCCTGCCCTCATACGCAAGACTAGTAGCAACACTGGGAAAGTACATGCCTGACATTACAAAAGGCTTGGTTGACCACCTTGATCAAGAATTTCGTAGCCTTCAACGTCGCAAGGAAAAAGAATTCTTAGGCCAAGCCCGACTGGGAAATATCCGCTACTTAGCTGAGCTGACCAAATTCGGCGTCGTTCCTGAGCATGTTATATTCCATTGCTTGAAAGTCAGTCTTGACGACTTCTCACGGATGAATATTGAGATCATATGTAACTTGCTAGAAAACTGTGGTCGGTACTTACTTCGCAATCCAGAGATGTCCCCTCGAATGACATCCTTCTTGGAAACACTCAAACGCAAGAAGTCGGTCCAACATATTGGCC